TACAAAATCTGATATTTGATCATTATTACAAGTCATTGATATCAACATGGCTTCCAGAGTATCTCTTGAAAGTTGGAACTTCACTTCCGATTTGGTTATAGTTCTATGTTATAATTAAGGTGCAATATGAGAATTATAGTTCTACTTGTATTTGTACTTTTTTTGGTAGCACATATATGTAATTTTTTTATTTTGTTAATAAAATTTACATGGGTTTCTTTCTGTGGACGTAGGTCTCTGACCGAACCACATTAAAATCTCTCGTGTATTTGTATTTTTCTTTATTCATATGTTGCAACGTTGTGGATATTATGTTGGTTCTGGTTGTTTATTTCTGGATTTTTTGTAGTTTAAAAGTTGTTTGATTTCGAAAGAGCCTATTTTAATTTGTTCCAAATAGTCTCAAAATGTCTAAGGCAACTGAAGGGGGTCCGTCTGCAATGTGGGATAAATAAGTAACAAATATTTTTTGCGACCTATGCATTAAAGAAACTGAACTGGGGAATAGATCAACCACATATTTTAATAAAGAAGGTTGACAAAATATAGCTCAGAGATTCAAAGAATTGACTGATAGGGATTACGACAGACTTAAATTCAAAAACAAATGAGACCAATTGAAGAAGGAATGAAAAATATGGAAAGAGTTGAAACGTGGCTCTACCGGGTTGGGATGGGATCCAATTAAAAGAACGATCGATGCTCCAGCTGAATGGTGGGCTGAGAAAATTGAGGTAATTTTCTATTTTTTTTCTTCTCAATTATATTACTTCTCAAATTATTTAGAAACTAATCCCCCTAAATAAGCTTGTTACAGGCATTACCAGCAGCGAAGAAATATAGACAGTGCGGAATTGGGCCAGAGTTCGAGGCAAAACTTGACATTATGTTTAAGGGGGTTGTCGCGACTGGGAAGCACGCAGCGAGATGGGATTTATAGAATGTCAAATGACTTGCCACCTGAACTTGCAACCTGAACAGATTATAGCTGATAAAGAAATTCCTAGTATTAACCAAAAGGAGATGGATGAGTCTAATTCCATGTCCAAAAGGCCCAAACTTGCGAGGAGAAAGAAAGAGAATGACAGTTTTGTTAAAGGCTCATTTGCTGAACTAATTGCAGCTTTTACAGCTCCGACTCCTCCTGACAGTACGATTTGGGAATGCGTGGTCATTTTAGATACTATTCCGGAAGTAGCAGTCAATAGGCGCTTTCAGGCAAAATGTGTTCAAAAGCTCGAGAACCCTACTCGTAGGACTCGTAGGGAAATGTTCATTGCACTGCGGCCCGAGATGCTCATTGAATATTTACGTGTTATAGTTAAAGAATGAGTCCGCTTTGTATTAATCTTTCAGTCACGTATGTATTGTTATTACAACAACTTTTGTCATTTAGTTTATGATGCTATGTATTGTCTGATTTTTTTTTCTATCTTCGTTTATGTATTCATATCACAACATGTTATGTCACTTATTTTCTGATGCTAAGTAATACTTGATGTTTTCACTATTCTAATTTCCTATCGCCACCTCTTCATAATTTCTTTCATCCTAATGCATTTCTTATTTCAGGATGCACCCACTGCAAGACCGTCGTAAAAGAATGGCAGAATGTGCAGCTATAGCGATATTATTGCTGGAATACTATCGCTCCAGTTATAGACGGATACCACGCATGACGTCCTCT